ATGAAATCAAAGTCTGAAGCCTGTCTAGACATTGACCCACTCCTACACAATCTACTGCACCAGAATAACAGAATTTCAACACACACACACACACACACACACACACACACACACACACACACACACACACACACTCCTTATATGCAAGTTCAGCCTGAGAGAGCTCACTCTATGAAATGAAAGCCATTAATATTGAATTTCTTGCCTTGCGCCAATTCACTTTTCACAACTACTGCACAAAGTCAATCTCAATGCGTTCCCCATATGGAACATGACACACACATATACACACACATACACACGCTGCTAGGATTACATCTCATACAAAACTGAAGGGGCAGGGAGGGGGAGTGGAAAAAGAGTCATGATAAGGGATGGGGGAGGAGAGGGAAAGGTCCTCAACTGTCTGCCTCGGATGGTTCAAAAAGGTTAATGAATTAGTTTTCGCTTGACACCAGAAGATCATTTGGTGAGTCGGCGAGTGCTCCAATTCAATAAAGACTTCCCCTCCTTCCTCCCAGACGCTCTGAATGAAATATAGTGCTTTTATAGAGGAGACAACACATCTATGGGCACCAGTGCATGAGTGTTTGAAAAGCATCACTGCATTGCCTTCAGTAATATATTCACTTTATGTGTATGGATTTAGCTCATGTTGATGCATAACTTTTAAGTTGTCTGAACATGAAACCATGTTGACATAGAGTGATATCGTTACCTAGAGAGTTTCTTACCGATTCTGATCTAAGATTACTGGGAAAATGTAATTAAAAAGAGTCTCAAGTGAGATCGATTTATTGAATCAAAGGAAGCAACCGACCATACACGGCTTCCACTCACTCAAAGTCCTCTTTCAGAGTGCTGAGTAGTACAGTAAAGTGAAAAACCTGCTAAAGCCATTAGCCTAAGACCTGAATGGTTTTGTCTTCATCTATATGGCTCTGGAAATGTGAAACCGGTAAGCAACAAACCAACTACAGGAAAAAGAGACTGACACAAAAGCATATATCAAAGCCAGTTTTACTCTTCATTACCCAATTACCAATTAGCTGAAAACTGAGCGTGAGTAGGTACAGTGTGATCCATAAGCAGGTATTTAGACATTGACATATTTTGTGCTGTTTTGGCTCTGTATTCCAGTACATCAGATTTGTATTCAGAGGTTGAATAACTGAGTTTCATCATCTATATCTTCAAATATGGATATATTAACACCCTCAGATTAAAGCTGACAGTAAGTACTCTGATCTTGAAGACACTGTTTCATTTAAAATCAAATGAGTTGGAGTATTGAGTCAAAACAACAAAAGATGTGTCACTGTCACAAATACTCACCTAATGCATTGTATGTGTGTGAGTATGAAGCTGTGTACATGCATGTTAGAACACAAGTTTACTGCAGGTCTGGTTCATAGCCCTTATGTTTTTGTCTGTCTGTGGCCTACTGACGAATGATAACCAATCTGTCCATCTCTCGCTAAGTCAAACTTGTCTCCCACACTTGCTCTCTTCCTTAGTGTTCTTGGATTCTGTGTCTTAGCCTACTTCTGACCATTACTAATCCGAGTCAGTGTCTTCCCTCTGATTAGATACACATTATCCATCCTCTAGACACCTTAAGTGGTTCTCATTTTACTGCTGTAATTAATGCAGCTCCTAATCAACTGAAAGGCTCTACTACCTTTGATTCAAAAAGATTGGGAAATTAAAGGAAAATGCATGAAGGAACTGAGCCCCATGTAATCAAGACCACATTACAATACTGTATGGCTTTTGTCTAAAATATGCACTAAAGTGTTCCACTTAAACAGACAAGTCAATCACATCACCATCTGAATGACTTTCTGTGGTGGGTTAAGCCCCTAAAAGGCCATCAAGGGGACAGACAGACACACAGCAAGGACAGCAGGGATTTGAACCTGTAGGTGGTCTCTGTGAGGCAGAGCCTGCAGACACAAGTGGCTGAACAATAGTGTGACCAGGAGGTCAACGGAGCGATGCAGGGACAAACAGAGAAGATTAAAGAAACGCCGTAGACGAACAAGAGATTGTTGGCTTAAAATGTCCAACCCTAAAGCTAAAACAACTCAGATTACCCCAACAGTATGGGCTCAATGCCCCCAAAACAAATACATGATGTAATTCACCAACACCCAAAACATTTAATCATCTTCTTTAAATAACAACACATTTTTCAAAAACTTACTTTGTATGTGCTTGTGGGCCACTCAGACCAAGGCTGACTCAACTTCAGGATAAAACAATGATTCAGTTCAATTCAGTACATTTTCAATAATTTCTGAAATCTACTGACCAGAATTAAAGTTTAAAAAAGGATTACAAATGCAACTGAAAGTAAACAGGAATGTGTGCAGGTGAACTAGAGTTGGACAATATTTTTTGCAAAGTTCACAATGTACGAATCAATTCAATGGCAAAAAAAGGCAGTTTAACAATTTTTGTATTGTTTTCTTTTCAACAAGAAGGTTGGTAGTATCGCATAAATATGCCGAATCCTGGAGAATAATACTTGGCATGTCCGGTGGTTAATCGAGTCACCCAGGAGCCTCCAGTAATGTCCTTAACCCTTCCTGTCATCCCATCATCCACAGACTCTGCTGGTCACTACTTAACCCCAGCAGCCACTGACACAACCACTGACTCAGACAGATAATTCTGCAAGGTGTTTGAGGCGGCCTAATGGAGCTTTTGTAGGCTTATAATGACAAAGTCTACACAATAGGCCGATTGTTTAAATAAGATGACCCAGGAGTGATTAACAGGATGTTTAGAACCGAGGCAAACCAGATCCAACAAATCAATTACTCAAATCACTGACACTCTGCACTTTACTTCAAATATGAAAACAGCAGATAAAAAAAAAAAAAAACAAACCTCTAAATACATAAAAACAACAACTTTTAGGACTAACCAATGTTATTCTAACACTATCAAGTTAGAGGAAATGTTAGATCTGACTAAAAGCTATAGTTGGCCTTACAATTCATTGTTAAACCATTTGATATTTCTTTATTTGAATGCCACCATTTATGTGATAAGTCTGCCTTTACATAGTCTTCGAACAGCTACAGCCCCTGAGGATGTGTGTCACAGTCCTAAGTCCTCCTGAGTGTGGGAAAGCTGTGTCTCTGTCAGTGCGACTGCTTGGCCATGACAACATTTCTGAGCTCACTACACTGTCGCAACAGCATGCTGGGTCATGCTCAATTCCTGGTTATCACAAACACAGTTGAGGCACTGTTGCAGCAATGTACTGAATCATATCTCTCTGCATTGATTCAATTCGCTAAGATCACGGGTTTCACAATTGGCATAACACTTGCACACAGTAAAGAAGTGACACTGTATTTAAGTAATACTGTATGACAGCAGACTGTAACAGGACACATTTAAAGCCAAAGATCTGCACAATTGCGTAGAATACAATCTTGACACCTGACATTTCAAAATAACCTGACAGTAAGGATGAGTGACACAATATCATATGATAATGTCATGACAACATACTGTCTAAGAGATAACATTAATACGCACAATTTAGAGAAACTGGGACCTTGTGCTGTCAAGCCAAGTCAGGCTTTGGTTCAGCCATTTTCCCAGGACTTCAGAAATCAGTCAGACAGTTCAGTATCTCAGGTCATGTTGAGACCTAGTATTTTGTATTTGGATACATCAAGAATGTGCCTCGATGGAGCTGATGAGATCTGCAGTTGACACCTGGTGTTGCTGCCCACTCTCACTTCTGATATAATTTGGGAGAAACTGTGAGCACTGCTACGCAGGAAAAAATACTAATTTGCCATACAGACAGAGATGGACTACAAATTGAGATTATATTGACTTTTTTTTTAACTAGCCTTGGGTATAGGCTGCAAACGCTTATCCAAGCAGTTTGACACAGGAAAATCGACTGTGAAACAGTGGTCAAGAGATGGTTCACGATGCATGTGCACAAATGTAGTGTAAATACAAATATTTTCTTGAATAATAGTATATCAATGCATCATTCCCACCAGTATTTACAGCTTGTGGGATTGCCAAATATGCATTAAAGCCTTTCTTTCATTTTTCCTCCATCTTTTACTCCCTCCACACTTCCTCCTCCAGTTTCTCTTTAGTCCATTAGATAAATAGGAAGTGTAAATCGTTTCCTTTTGGTCCAAGTAATGATTAACTGTGGTGAGAACATAGACTGACATGTTTCAGGGCCTGATGAGCAGATATTGTGCTAAGCAGCAAACACAGCCTCAACATAAGATAAGACTTCACTACATGTGACTTGGTGTTCTTCTATCACCGTCAAATCTCTGACTAAAGCTTCAGTCAGTCTTACTTGCAAAAAAAGTAATGATGTGAGCTGCATTTTGTAGTGTTGATCTCTCTCAAGTATAACTGTGACAAACTGAATCCAAAATAAGGCTGATACATATATCAAGGTCATCATCCAACACGGAAATGGTGCACAAGTCGATTTTTGAAATAAAAAGAAAAATAATCTAAGCAAGAAAAAAAAAAAGAAATACCAGACAGTCATCAGAGTAAGTTGGAGAAGCAAAACCACATCCATGGTTTTATGTCTTTCATATTCCTGATTCCTGTCTCTGTATATTCACTGGGCCCTCTCTACCATCTGGATGATACCACATCACATGCAGTCACGCACATACACACATCTGCAAAAATATCTCCATTTATACTGCCAAATCTTCATTGGGCATATGCTTGTGTGGACACATTTAATTCTGTGCACGAGTGAAAGCTGTGTTGTCTGACTGTATTGTTTCACTGTTACAGCTTTATCATCATGATTTTACCCATATCAGTATCCACTTTCTCTTTCAGCAGATAACTGCAAAGAAATATCTCTCAACCTTCACCCTCGGCTTGGACATTGTTGAACAACCTTAACTTCTGATGAAGCAAATAGAAGAACAAGTTGTATCTGACTTTTCAGCTTGTTCAGCTGAAATCAATCTTACCTGATAATAGGCTTTTATCTGCCTGATGAGAATAGAAAGGTTCTGGATGCGCAGTGTGGGGTCATTGTTCACTTTCTTGTTGGTCCTCTGCACTGTGGCCTTAGGGTTTCTGTGGGGAAAAAAATGGCATACTGTTATTTAATTGCTCTTTGGAGCAAAGATGAATGTCAGTTAAAGATGTGGACAGACACATTTTAAAGTTAGTGACACTGGCTTGTTTTCAGTTTGACACTGTTGCTCTGTGCAATGGAACAGGGATGTGTGTGTGTGAATAAAAACATTAACAGCAAAGTGACAATGGATCCTTGTTTGAGTGCCATAACCACTTAAACAAACCACAGACACATTAAAAGACAGAGCCAAAAAACAAAGCTGCTCCTAGTGGTCTACGACCTTCAAATCAAATTCCTAAGTGAGTTAAATCCAATTCAAACTTCTTTGTAAAGCATTTACATTTTTAGGCCACATTTTCATACATATTCGTATTGACACATTTACAAATTCTACAATACAACTCCTGTAGACTGTACTTCAAACTTCTGAGAGCGGTTCCATTAACATGGTAAAGGGAGTTAACATTCATCAGAGCTCAAAAATAAGGTCAATAACTCTCTCATGGTCTCCATTTCTTCTCATCCATCTAAATCTAAGAAAAAAAGTACCTTCATAGTGTTTACAGAATAGAGAGGCTGTGTGTTTATCTGACTGTGTTGCCCAGGGGATTTTAAAAGGAGCATGCATGACAACTGCTGTTATCACGGGTGTCAACATGTTTTAGTGAGCATCATAGACATTCCACACACTAACACGGTCCCACTTCCCCAGCTGCCATAATCTACAGCAAACTAAAATTTGCATGTCTATTGAAATTACCTTTAGAATATCAAACCTAGTTTCATGTCAAACCTCCTTTTAAACTAAAATTTACTGCAGAAGACATTCGTGTAACTAATGAAAAAAAAAAAAGATGTCCTTGGAATATGTCAGTCGTTCTGTCTCTTTGGAAAGCTTGACATGCTAACTACCTGTCAGTTTCATGGACAGTACTAAGCAGCCATCCATGCAATCATCAACTAATTACTTTCCCATGTTTAAACTCTAAAGCTCCTAACTGCTACCTTTGACAGAATGAGAAGTATTGATTAAAATTTTGTTCAAATGGTAGTTTTTGCACACTTATAAGTTAAAGGTTAAACAGACTAATACTATGCAAGATCTGTGGCCTTCATTTGGTATTTACTGATCCCCCCAAGGTAAATTCCTATTTCCTTGACCCCCCACTTTACAGAACAGAAGTGGTGACAAAGCACCAACCCTAGAGCTGATATGGTTTCTCCAAGTAGTAGAGTGACACTTTAAAAAGAGAGACTTGTTGTCACACCTCACTGATTTCAAATATCTGTGTAAGGCAGTAGGATTTGCCTTTCACACTTAGGTCTTCCATGCATTCTACTTCAACTCTTTCCTTTCCTCCTTTCATGACAGAAGCACTATTGGACAGAAAAGCAGTGAGTTCAAAAGTAATAACATGAAGAAAGAAGAGCGTTCTCATTTATCATCCAGCTTCAATGATGAGCTTAGTTTTAAGTTAACAGGCGAATCAAGGTGGAGACTGAATGTGCTTCAGCAACCACACTAGTAGTTGTCTAACCTCACAGTAGATCCCATAATTCTCACTGATATCATCATGTATTAGATATGATTATAGAATTATACTGATTATCTTATAAGCCCTGACAGCGTGCAAGCTGCCACTGTTAGAAAAACACTTAAAAAAACCTGGTTCTCTCTTTATTTGAGGTAAATAAATAAATAATAACTAGGAATTTACAGCAGGGGTCCCCAAACTACGGCCCGCGGGCCACATCCGGCCCGCCAAAGCAATTGGAGTGGCCCACTTAACGATCCCAGACAATCCCTCTAAACATCAACCAATTTTTATTAAATTGCATTTTCCTATCATAACATCATAACATATCCGTACTTAAAGGTTGGCATTCTAATTAAAATTGACCATAGTTATGAGCTATTTATAGTTAATAGTGGCTCATCTTCACCTCCTCACACAATGGTATATTCTGACGTGACTTTGATCGTGACCAAGCCAGCGTCAAGCTGCAAAGTTCTGAGGTGGGAATCTGTCATGAAGGTGGTTGTGTCCTGCATAAACTTCATCAGAGCAAACGGACTTAAACACAGGCAGTTCCAAGCCTTTCTCTCCGAGCTAGAATCAGCCCACGGAGACGTGCTTTACCACACTGAAGTCCGCTGGTTAAGCCGGGGCAGAGTTTTGAAGCGTTTTTACGACCTGCTACCCGAAATCAATGCCTTTCTCCTGACAAAGGGAAAAACTGTCCCAGAGCTGATCGACACAGAATGGAAATGGGACCTCGCCTTTATTAACAGATGTGTCAGAAATTTTAAACGGCCTCAACTTGCAGCTCCAAGGCAAGGGAAAACTAATCTGACATGTATTCCCACATCAAAGTATTTGAGCTTAAACTAGCGCTGCTTATTGGACAGGTGCA